TGAACTTCTCTTCAACTTCCAATGTGGGACTATTCACAATTGCCTTTTCCTTAAGAAAATGCTAACACAGGCTTCTTAACTCCTTGGCCATTTCGGAGTAGGAGAGGAGCCCGTCGTTGTTAGAATTGAGGTAGGCAAACCGGTCCTTTACGGAGTCGGTGAAGGCTGCTTCGTCGTCGACGAAGGCACGGATTGTTGCTCTGTCGAGAATCTCTACCGTGTTGGTGGTCAAAATATATGTCAAGGTCAAAATCCATGACTCCCAGTCTCCCACTCAATTTAAAAAGAAAAGGAAGTCAAAAATATGTTGTGTGCAAAGTCAAAATCCGGTGGATTCAGAGCCAGCGACTTCCTGCATTGAGAACAAAAGGTCGTCATCAGGAGAAAGCAAACCAACTACCGTGTGGTGTCCGAAGGTTCAATTGCTGAGTAGTTTAAGCTCAAAGTAATAGCTGTCCCATTTCACCTATTTTTTGGTTGCAACCTATAAAGAATCCATTTCTTTGCCAGAAATCCCGACTTTTCCTAGAAATAAAATAAATTTTGCACTTAATTTATATACTAGGATGGTATATTCTGCACATATTCTACACCCTCTGATATTGTCTGTTCTAAACTTAAACCCCACCCATGGGTTCTGACCTTGGCCTATATTTGCACCGACCAACACGAACCCGTCCTTTTCTATGGGCGTATTAACTCCAGCTCTCTATCCCCACAATGCATATTGTATAAGTAGGACTAGGTTCCCATCTCTCTTCGCCAAAAGTAAACCTCTTCATTGAGAGAAATCATTTGACTACAATATGAGCGTAGAGATTCTCGACGGTGCAACGATCCGCAACTTCATCGACGACGAAGCGGCCTTCACCGACCTGGTGAAGGACCGGTTCTCCTACCTTGACTCAAACCACGACGGCCTCCTCTCCTACTCGGAGATGGCAAAGGAACTAAAAAGCCTGAGGGTCCTCGAGACTCATTTCGGCATCGACGATGCCGGTCTTTGCCCCGAGGAGCTGGTCCGGCTCTACCGAGGCCTGTTCGCTAAGTTTGACCGTGACGGTAATGGAAGCGAGGATTTAGAGGAGTTCAAGGCTGAGATGAAGGAGGTGATGATCGCGGTGGCGAATGGGATTGGGTTCTTGCCTGTGCAGATGGTGGTCGAAGAGGGGAGTTTCTTGAAGAAAGCTGTGGACAGGGAGTTGGCCGGAGCGGCATGAGCTTAATTATAGTAATTACATGCGTATAAATGTGAAATGCTTTCACTAAATTTTCTATCTTTTTTTCTTCTGTGATTTAGATGAGGCATGAGATTATAATTAAAGAATAAAGAGTGGTATTTTTGGAAATTGAGCAGGGATTTAGACTCGAATATTAGCGCAGCTTGAGTCTGAATTTGTCTCTTGGGCAGTCCGAGCTTAATGATATTTGCTAAAATAGTCGGATTGATCCTTGGGCTTCATGCTTAATTTTACCCTTCAAGGGTGCCCTTTCTACTACATGCTTTGAATTTGGATAACGGATCTTTTAGACTGTCTTCGCATCCAAGATTGTCAGTTTCATTGAATTTGTCTCTTGGGCAGTCTGAGCTTAATGATATTTGCTAAAATGGTTAGATCGATCCTTGGGCTTCATGTTTAATTTTGCACTTCAATGGTGCCCTTTCTATTACATGCATTGAATTTGGATAATGGATCTTTTAGACTGTCTTCACGTCCAAGTTGTAGAGAAAGAATCAAACTTTGATAGAAATTAAGAATTACCCAATTGAACCCTAGATCGGATTCCAAATAGATCTCTTGTCCACACGAGGAAAGCAAAATCTCCAACGATAACTTCTAATGCTACATTTACCGAAGCCTAGAACTCCAAGAACCAAACTTCACACAAGAATCTTCCTCCACCTAATTCCAAAACCCTAGATCTGAAATCTGGCTCTGATACCGCTTGTTGCGCGCATCGAAAATTTTGACAACACTTCGACAGCGCAACAAGAGAGTCAGGTCGCAATAGGAATTCCTATTTCACCAAGGAAACAAGAACCAAAAGCAAAATATCTCAACAAAGTGGGATATCAGCTCTTCCTCTCATCAGTTCTAGGACTGAACTATCGAGGGAACCTAAATAAGCTATTACAAATCACACAACCAACGAGACAACCAATTTTACATGGTTCGGCAATTTGCCTACGTCCACGAGGAGAGGATGAAGATATTTCACTAAATCAAGGAGAGTACAAAGGGTTACAATCTCACAAAACTCACAAACTAACCCTCAACCAAAGCTCTCAACTTGCTCACAATATCTTCATCTCACAATGCTCAAAAGTCTCTCTAATATCTGATTACAACTCTCCTCCTTTTGATTGATTCTAATTTTCCATATATATAGAAAACCTAAAACCAAAACATACTAAAAATCCTAAAACAAAAAACAAAACAAATTAGGAATCCTAATAACCTGTTACCAAAACAGATTAAGAATCCTAATAACCTCGTGTTACCAAAATAGATTAGGAATCCTGCTATCCAACACCTACAACATCCACGCCACAAGAAATCCCTCTCGCTCATTGTAAATGCTTAACAAAACTCAAAGATCTTTAAAAGTACAGGTGACTTTATTTAACTTTTAAATGATATAAGTGAAGGTTACTTTGCTTCGAAGAAATAATGACGAGATAGGAGATTCATTGTCATTCTAACAATATATTAAACCAGAACAAAATATATAATGGTTAATTGTGGAAAGACCCTCTTAGTATCTCTAAATTGCGGATATCCCTGTTCTCCTGTTCTAACTGCGTGGATAAACCTCTGTACTATTTGCCCAAAAACGCTAGAGCCCCTCTGTGATTTTTTTTATTCTCTTCAGAGTAAAACAAATTAGCATTTGGAATCTATCTATACCAATATAACTGCAGGGGGTCTATCACACTCTACAAAACTTTTTTGACTTATTTTAACAAGTGAAAATAATTCACTTTAGGGGTCCATCTGCAATACACTCTACAAAACTTTTTTGACTTATTTTAACAAGTGAAAATAATTCACTTTAGGGGTCCATCTGCAATTAGACGATACTACAAGGAGTCTATCATTTTAACAAGTGAAAATAATTCACTTTAGGGGTCCATCTGCAATTAGACGATACTACAAGGAGTCTATCCGGACAAAATGACCAAATTGATATATTTTGTTTACCCATAGTGACAGGTTGACATATAATTTTTTTTGGTACCACATTGGTATATTTTCTGAACTTCGGCGACAAATAGGCCTTAAGTTTGCCGGATCCAATTTTCCGGCCATTTTCACGTGACGGCTCACGTGACTCCAACGTGGCCGCCAGTGTGGTTGGAGTTAGCGGGAGTTTTGTAGAAAACCCCAAAAAAGCCAAAACTTTCAATTAAAAACCTACAGTCTCTTCTTTCTTACTCAAAAAACTTCTCTCCTTCAATTGCCATTTCAACCAGAGAGAGAGAGAGAGAGAGAGAGAGAGAGAGAGAGAGGGAGAGAGAGATGGAGAGGG